TCATTGCTGTATGCTTACATATTCCACAGTCTAGAAAGAGAAAATATTATGTCAGCCCGTTGGTTGTTATAAAGATTGTTTATGAAGTTGAATCTAAGAATTATACATTGAATTGGGGAATTCTGAAAAATGAACTGTATGGCACAAGAGACCAAATCATGTGAAGGTGCAGAAAAAGACTATACATCAGTTCAAAGACTATATTATTAAAAAAATACAACCATAAAAAAGGTAATAAGATTACATTCTCACACTTCATGGCTAGTAAGGTGCATTAGGCTGCTCAGATATTCATAACTTACTGTGACATTTCATGAGATTACATTTTGCTGTTTACAGCCATTACTGCTGCTCAGATAATAACTAGCTGGTGTACATACCTGGATTATGTGATCCCTGTCTTTGGCAGCAAATTTGTGTCTTTGAAGGTTGATCAGCTTCAAATTACTATTAGAATAGGTTAATATGATATACTGTTAAGGTGTGCGCTTATATGTATGTATATTGTGTTGCCATATTAATACTACGGTATATCAAATTTTCCAAAAATTGCATGTAACATTCCCATTTGTAAAAATACTTTCATAAAACATTTAAATGAAAATTACTTAAGTCTGATTTCCTGAATGTCCTATTTTGAATTGCTAGTGAATTATTTGTGTTTTGCAGATTAGATAGGAAAACTAATATGTCAGCTTCTTGGATGAGTGGTTACTGCCTATGTACATGTAGCTAAAAGTGAAAGATGACTTGTAGAGAATTGAGGTGAAGGTGAGGTCACTTTACTTAAGAGCAAAATGTATGGCCTATAAGGTGCTGGCATGACAGTTGATGGTTCTTTAGAATCAAATATATTAACTCAAGCAACTCTAAGAAGATAATGGGCCAGATTTATTTATTTTTTTTGGCAATGCTTAGTATTGAGTTTAGCATTGGCTAAAAGTTGTATTACTAAGCATAAATTCAAACGTTTCCTTTAATAAAATTGCTTTGAAGTTTATTATAACTGCATTTATCTGGTCTTTCTATTGAACCAAGTTCATAATTGCTATTATTGCTAATATCTAGTTGTGAAGAGAAATTTTCAAGCCATAAATTCTGTATTATTTGATTGTCATTTCTGGTGAAGTTGTTTTATGGTGTTGCTATGGGGGCATCGAAGTAGAAATTGTGGCCTCTTTAGATGTAATGAAAACTATCTAGATTTTATAGTTAAAATAACCTGAAATAATGATAGTTATACCATCTCTATAGGTATAAACTTCTCTGCTAAGGAATTTGCACTTTCACAGGCCATAAAACACACATCTTGCCATTAGACTTAAGAAGTTTGCATATATTTCTCGGATTTGCATATAGCTTGCCATTACACAAATTTGAGAAATATATTTGCAGTTTATTATATATGCTGTTGCTCCTTCATTAAGAAATTTTAAAAAGAAAATATTAAAATATTCATTTCTGTTGTCTGACTATTCTGTTTTAAAATGTCACCTATATTCATTATATATTTCCAATCTTGAAGTGTTTGACATCGTTGATTTATTTTGAGAATGCTGAAAAATGTGTTTTCCAAGTTACATATTTCTCCAACACTTCTGACCTTGAGTAATGAATGGAAGCTGCTTGAATTCATGGAAAAGCATGGAAACAGACTCGTTTAGCAAATCTTACTGCAGAATTGCTATATTTTAAATGAAAACCATCTACGATTAGTTTCTGTTTAGTAATAGATCTCTGCCACTAACTCATATACCCACTATGTGACATTCACAGAATTAAATATAGGCCCAATAAGAAAACCTGTCATCCATACTACCTGGCAATGGCAGTATACATTGTGTGCTGAAATATGAAATCCATGCTCATCAGCTTGAGGAGGCTGTATTCAGTAACATTGACCAGGATGTGAATAACAATATTAACAATTTCTTGTAGAAAAACATGGGGATATTAAGTGAAAATTCTGCCAGTCCACATCCTTAGTCTGTTCAAATCATGAAATAGGTAATAGAACATTCATGTATGAAGGTACTAAGGAGGGCAAGTAGGGTTATTTTCCCTTCAAATGTGCAGGTATGATGCCACCTAAATTCACTTTCTTTTCAAGAGTTGCAGAATATGTAGCCTTATTTTAAGAGCAGCTATAGTCCAATCTCTTCACTGTCATTGATCACAAAAGCTGTATATCCAGGTTAGGACTAACATTTCTTTTTGGAGGGGCAAATAGGTTTTTGGTTTCTTAGCACATTGCCCTATAAACTATATCTAGTTTGTTTAGAGATCAAGAAGAAGAAGAAATTGCAAAGGAATGTTTCAAATAATTGGTTCAGTCACATAATTCTTTCTTATACCACGCTGCAGCTACTCTTATTATTGTGTTTTAATTTCACTACCATTTTTATCAAAAGTTTAAATTGTGTAGTAAGATAGAAGGGATATTTTTAACATGTAAATGAAGGGATAGAGACTGGTATGATTTCTAATCTGGGTTGCAAAATTTTGAATGACAACTGTATGTTTTTATTTGTCAGCTGGGAAGACAGATCTAGTAGATTTGGACTTTGTTTTTTTTTACCATTGTACTGGCTGATTATATACTCTTTTTATAAAATTCAAAGCCCATAAGCGACAGCTTGATGCTATTCAGAGTACTCTCACAAGTGAACAATTTGCCTTTCTCATATGCTTGGGGACAGAGCTACATATTCAGTGGAATTTACACTTAAGGATCAGCTGGAAATAGTTGGAAAAGTTAACCTGGAGACCTATATACATATAGCAATATGGCTTGTCACTAGGCTGTAGACAGCCGAAGTCAGACTTACCACCAGGCACTTATAAAGCAACGCGGATGAAATTGAGTGAGATCCTATCTTCTAAGTATTTTTCTTCCTGTAAAAGCTGCCCAAAGTATCTTTCCCCCTATGAGGAGAGAGGAAAGGGAATTTCTATCCCACCCTCTAAGAATAGTGGTGACTGACTACCCAGGGGAGTTAAAGCACTAAAAGAATAACTTTAATCTAATTGGATTTATGTTTTGAAACTTGGGGACTAAAAGTTTTCTTATTTTCACCAAAGACTTTTGTTTTTATCTATAAAAAAGAAATAAAATTGGAAAAAAGACTATAAAAATTTTGGACTAAAAAACCTTGGGCGGCATCGGTGACATCGTGTGGCAAAGCTTGGTATTACAACTTGTTATTGCCTAAAGGAGACTTGGCTTGAAATCCAGACTACAGATAAGACTCTTTTAACTTTGTTAAACACCACCTGTGAGATGTTCAGCTGTAAAGAGAACTTCTGGGTGGCATGGCTGGTCTCCTTGAATTATGAATGTAAACCTTTATTGATTTTTAGGGAATTGCTTTCCTACTTTTTTATCTGAGGAATATTGGTCATTATTTGAGATGATGAAATACCTTGGATTATAAAATCTTACTTGACAAACGATTTTTACTATAAAGACTACCTACAAACACGTGAAATAGAGGTCCCATACTCAGCTATAAAATTATTTTCATCGTCTGATTTCAAAATCCTCAATTTAATGCACCATTAAGAGAAGATGAAGATCAGGAAAAGATTCTTTCCATGTTGAAAGCAATACATGAAACCATCCTTTCAGTTGTGATGAAATAAGATGTTACAGAAAAGAACAAGATGTCAGCTTAGATATACAAACCCAAATTCTGACCATAACTAAATAACTCACAATGCAGAAGGTAACAGAAGAAGTGGAACAATCAAATACTAAGACAGAGGACTCAATTGACCAACAAATATAGTCAATAGAATATCCAGAAAAGGGACTGACAACACTGAAAATGGAAAAGACTTTCTATATAAATCAGAAGAAATTTGAGGAGCAAGAAGAACAGACTTAATGGAAGATAAACATACCAGGACAGTTATGGGGATTTGGAATAATAGGGAGATGATTTAAGGCAGGGGTATCAAGCTCAATTTCATTGAGGCCCATATCAGCATTGCAGTTGCCCTTGGGGGGCCCGGTGGGTGTGGCCAGAGTGGATGTGACTACTGGGTGGGTGTGAATGGAGTGGGTGTGGCCTACTGGGTGGGCATGGCCAACTCTACATCGTTCGCGTCAAGGGTGCCTGTGGGGGCCTGGGCAAGAGTGGGACAGATCTGAGGGTCTCTGGCAGAAGGGGGTGGACCGGGGCAAGCGCCAAGAGATGGTGCATTTCTTCATTCCTCACAAAGGATGACACCTCCCCAGCATGCACCCAGGGGGCAGGGCCAACGCGGCAGGGGCTGGTTCCTCGCTGTTTCTGGATGGCCTTGTGGAGCTAAGACTGAATGCATTTCAGCATAGATGGCCACCACAAAATTGTACATTGGCTCCTGGCTGGCCTGGGACAGGGCCAAGGTAGCGGGGGCCGTTCCCTCACTGTTTCCAGGATGGCTTCACGGGCCGCATCCGGCCCCCGGGCCTTGTGTTTGACATGTCTGATTTAAGGAATACAAATGGACTAGCCCTTCCAAAAAATGGCAGTTAAATTCCAAACAATATATATAATTGAGGTTGTAGCTTGAGATTTGTACTAAAGATTTTTGTATGTTACTGAACTATTGATTAACTCAGCCACCACATTGCTTTTTAAATACCTAAATATAAAGTTAGAAAATTAATAAAAATATTATTTAAAAAAAAGAAACATAACCTGCACATATTTATATGCTTTGAAAGTATATGTTGATACTAGTTCATATATTGCTAACATACAACAGGAATTCAATCAATAGTTCTATGCAAATTTTGTTAGGAACTGGGGGTTGGACTAGATGACCTCCAAGGTCCCTTCCAACTTTATCATTATTATTATTAATAATAATATCATTAACCTCTTTGTTAATTGCACAGCTTATTAATGTCTATTAATATCTGTTGCAAGGAAAAATGCTAACCCTGAAAATTATTCATTTTAAAGAGATAATTCTGAAAATAAGTACTAATGTTCCTTTTTAAAAAATTTCAGCTTGTAGGTGGTCATTTTGATCTGGAAATGAATTTTATTATACAAGAAGGAGAAGGTATTACATGCATGTTGGACTTGTTGGATAAGTGTGATGTCACTTGCCAAGCAGAGATATGGAGCATGTTTACAGCTATCCTGAAAAAAAGTATACGAAATCTGCAGATTTGCACAGAAGTAGGTCTTATTGAGCATGTGCTTCAGAGGATTGATAAAGCTGACAACATGATTGCAGGTATGACTTCTTAAATGGTCCTAGAATTGGAAGAAATTTCCAATGAACTAGTATGGAACCCTTTTTCACACATGTCTGAAAAAAATAAATATTAACCTACATCTAATAACCTTTGTTTAATTTTCCACAGATCTTTTAGTTGATATGCTTGGCATATTAGCAAGCTACAGTGTGACAGTTCGGGAATTAAAGCTATACTTTAGCAAACTTCAAGGAGACAAAGGGAAATGGGTATGTAGAAATCTGCATTAGTAAAAAGTAGTTTTTATTTAAATTGATATCCTTAACTTTTCATATCATAAAATAACTTTATGAGTAATAGCACTGAATACATTTTTATGGTTAATAGGTAGAAACTATGGGAGTCAGGTAGTGATTTTAATTTTTGTTTATATGTCATTGTGTCCAACAAGATCCAAAGCAGAACCCACCATTCAAATAAAAATAATCGAAACTCAAACAAAATCAAAGTAACAATGCCCTGAGAAAAAGCATACAAATACCTAGGAGGAAGGTCTCCTTTGTCCCTGCTCTATTCCAAGGCGCATCAGAAGAGTCAGGTTTTAATGGTTTCCTCATGGGAACCACCCCAATTTTGGGAAACGTGCTGTTCAGAAGAAGAGCAGCACACACTGTGAAGCTTGTCCCTGCATATGACCTGTCTTAAGTGGGAGCTGGAAAGAGCAGATCCTGTAGATAACCAGGTTTTAAGCCATGCGGGGCTTTAAAGGTGATAAACTATACCTTAAATTCCACTTGGAAGTAAGTAGATGTATTACATAGTGAAACATAGAAATTCCCATCTCTATATAAGATACTATATTCTAGCCCAATTGAAGTTCTGGATGCTCTTCAAGGGTAGTCCTATGTACAGCACATTGTATGAATCCAAACAAATGTGACAGAAGCTTGAGTAATTATGAGCAGGAGCCTCTGTCCAAGAAAGCTCAAAACTAGGGGCTTGAAGATGTGTAAAAGACTTTCTTGCTCCAGATGTCTTGTTCTTTAAGCAATAATTGCAATCGCAGGGGGACATCTAAGTTACAAACCCATTCTACATGTAACAGCACAGCCCTATTCAGAGCCACAAATGTCCCTGCTATCAGATGGCTACTGAGCCCATAACTTTTTCACCTTGTTGGCATTAACAAGTTCCTGACACCAGTATAAGCCTTCCATCTATTTTGGCACAGGGTAGAGATATACAGCTGGGTATCATGTAAGGACAAATTGATGATACCTGAATCTGTGCTGGCAGATAATCCCATTCAGTGGCTTCATATAGCTATTAAATAGAAGAGAATGTATAGTGTACAATTCTGTTAACGCCCCATAACGGAGAATCCTAGAATATGACTTCTTCTCCTTATTATTATTATTTATTAAAATATAACTTTAAGGAAGGAGGAAAAAAACTACAAAACAGTGCTTCCCTCTCCCAATCCTCATAGACAGGTCAGTAAAATACCATGATCAATGTATTCAAAGGCCACTGAAAGGTCAAGCAAGATCATCCCATTTTGCTAGTCTCACCACAGGTTATCCACAAGAGTGATAATTGTGCTTTCAGTACCACACCCAGGATTGAAATAGTTTCCTCCAGGGTCCTTCCAGGGACTCTCCAGACTAACATCATTCTTTAGAAGGGTAAGTTGGAGACTGGGTTAATAGTTGTTTAGTATTGCAAAGTCTAACAATGGCCTTAAGATAAACGTATTTTAGATAAATCTCTTTGTCCTCTTTCAAGGAAGCATTATTATTGCCCTGATCTCATATTTCTTTCCTGGAGGTTTTCACCAACCAGGAAAGGGAGAATTCCAACCCACAAAAGCCTGGGCTGACATTACAAAGAACCCTGTCCATCTCCTTAGAAATAAAGGCTCAAATTCCTGCTAGATAATCTTTGAAGATGCCACCTCAGTCATCTCACTTCTAGCCAACATTCATCTTTGAGCAGTTACAAGTGATTTTTATCCTCCAGATAACTTGAAAACTCTTCACAGTACAGTAGTCAGCAGATGTTTTTCCTTTGGATAATTTTAAGCAAGACAGACAATTTTTACATGCAGTACGGATGGAGAAATATTGATGATGGTTTTACTGTCTATAGTATAAGTTTGATATTAAGGGGATATTAAGGAAATTGTATAACCCCAGCAATTTCTACTTGTGCCTTGCACACAGCCTCAATTGTAAAGCATCATACTGAGTTATCTGTAGAACAATGCCTCTGGTTGCTAGATTCACATATGATGCTAATTTATGAACCTTGATGGTGGGTGGTGAACCAGATAATGCCAACCTATGAACCTGATGGTGGTGAATTTGGCATTAAGTAGTAGCAACCAGAGCATGGAGCCTTCAAAGACCTGGAAGCTGGATCCCAGATAATGGCAGAATGCTAGAAACAAGGATTGGTTCTTAGAAGATCAATCGTCTTTCTGGGAGGGCGGTCTGCTCCATCTCATACTACATGTCTTCCCACCTGCCTTTGTGGAAATCTTAATTTTTAGCTGCTATCCCAGACTTAAAATATCCTTGGGCTGCAGCAGCACAAACAGTTTTGATAGAATAGATGTGGTCTTACATTCTTAATAACAATATTCTGATGTATAATCATTATTATATACAAACTATTATTTATATCCTGATTTTCTGGCCCAAGAGCTTTGGAGAAACTTCTAAAATTAGTAGAGGTATAAAAATAGAATATTTTTTATTGGATTTTGTATTATTATTAAAATTTTAATCTTCAATTTGATTCACAGTCTGGGACTAGTAAAAACTTAACAGTTCAAGTCCTAACCAAGGACCTAAGAGTTATTAAATTAATGTCTGAGTATATAGGCAATTCCAAGTAAGATGGATTTTTGCAAAATCAGGATATTCAAATGATGATATTATTATTGTTATTATTATTGTTGCTATTATTGTTATTATTATTGTTATTATACATTGTACTAAAAATTGATTTTTGAATAGCCTCTGTATGCTGGAAAGCTACTGTCTGTATTAAAATATATGCCCCATAAATATGGGCCTGATGCCTTCTTCAATTTCCCAGGAAAAAGTGCTGCAGTAAGTAATTTTATCTATCATGTTTATTTTTAAAAAATCTTTGTTTTTTGTAAGGTACTTGGTCTTTTCTGAAGTCTTAAATAATAGCTAAAAGAAAAGTAATTCAAATAATTACTTTTTCAAATAAATAATAGCTAAAAGAAAAGTAATTCAAAAGGTTTTTTATGCCAGTTTTGGAAACTGGGATCTATATACATGCAGAGAACATTTAATAAGCTTTATAACAGTTGAGTACAAGCAAATCTATGCATACTATTTAAAGAGTTATGTATTAAATTAATAAACCCAGCTTAAAATAAATGAAAAGGAGTTGTCACAGATTTTGATATCATGGTTTGAAGCAAGTGGTTTGCCTGAATAAATAGTCAAGCAGTATAATAATTTACATCATTTCTTATATCTTATTTATGCATTTGTGTTTTTTTTTAAGTAGTCCTCCAGGTCCATTTGTAAATCCAATATTTCTATCTCTTTCTTGTAAGCTACAATTTTAGGATCCTCAATAATACCTTTTCTATTTTATTCAAAGACTTGATTCTCTTCAGCACTTTTTGATTGCAGTATAGGGTTAAGTACTCCACTGTTCTTGAGTCCACAAATCATAAATTTCCTTTAACATAGCCATCTGGTAGCTAACGTTCAAAGCTTCTTATCAGCAACTTATAAACACAGAAATTCTTTCCCACATGAGAGGGTATTTTTAGTTAACTTCCACATCTTTCTTTAAATCAAATTCCTCCAAATTCTTCACATTTAAAAACTTTCCAAAAGACAATATACAGTCATCTTTTAGCTGCATATTAGAAAAAAATAAAAACTTTCAAAACTGGAAATACAAATCCTTTCTTTGTAAAAGGATGAAAGAGGGAATCGCATAGCAAATACAAAGTTTGCACTTCTGAAGGGTTTTCATTCTTTAAGAGGTAATAAAAATTAAATTAAATTCCAGCATGATTACAAAAGTTAGGTTAGGTCAAAATTTGACTCCTTAAAGAAGGTATATTAACAGCTTAGATGATGATGGAATTTATGATTCCCAGCTGATTGCAAGTAGCTGCGAATACCTCAGTTTCTGTTGTCCACTAACCAAAGAAACAAAAAGCTGAATGCCAGCAGCTATGCAAAATACATGAGGGCGATCTCAAGATCTCTCTTTACTGCAGAGACAATTATCAGCAGTCTGGATCTTATATTTTGGCTGCAATATCCTCTACAAAATGCAGAGCATCCATCCATTCACCTTCCTGGAAGTGTCTCATGTGATTCAATTGTGAACAGTCAATATTTCTATCATTGTACTGATATAAATCACTGGTATCCTTTCTGACCTTATACCTGAAATGATTTCACATTTATTTATATTAAAATATCAAAAAAGCAAAGGAAAATATTGATTTTGCATACATAAAAGGTTGAAATATTGCCTTTGCATACAGCAAAGGTTGAAATGAAAATAAGGATATTTATTAAAACATATTTTAAAGTTTGTTTAAAAAAACATTTTATTTATGATAATTCATTGCTTTTTTTAGGCTATTGCCTTACCTCCTATAGCAAAGTGGCCATACCAGAATGGATTTACCTTTCATACTTGGTTAAGAATGGATCCTGTAAATAATATTAATGTAGACAAAGATAAGCCTTACTTATATTGGTATGTATATATGCATCTTATATATTTATATATTTACTATATATTTTATTATAAATATGTATATAAATATATCCTGATATATTTACTGGTGTTGTTATATATCGGTTTGTAAAATTGACTTTCATCAATACATGTAAATAAATATAAGTGTAATAATTTTATTTGTTTCAGTTTTAGAACAAGTAAAGGGCTTGGTTATTCTGCTCATTTTGTGGGAGGCTGTTTGGTTGTGACATCAATTAAATCAAAAGGAAAAGGTTTCCAGCACTGTGTGAAATTTGATTTCAAGCCACAAAAGGTACGTGTCATGAGTTTCTTTTGGATGATCCAGCCACTGGCAGACAGCCCAGTAGGTATAGGTTTATTCTTTCTCAGGTAGCACTTAAATTTAAGTAACATAAAGTATCAATCATATTCTTATACCTCATTTAATCTACATCCCAGGTAACTTTCTATAAGCCTAATTTACAGTGTTTTTGGTCTTCCTTTTAGTTTTGTGGACTGAGTCCACCTCAGTTTCTGCTTTTATTTCTTTTATTGTTTGCTCCTTTTTCTGCTCTCTAAACAGCTTTCACATTCATAATTTCTTTACACAATATTTTCCTAATCTACTGCCTCCTAATGAAGAGGTTGGTTTCTATCATTCTTAGAGATTCCAGATGGTTACTCATTTAGAAGTAAACTTCATCTTTTATCTCAAATTGTAGATTGTTTTTCTTTGACTAGTAAGTAATTTTTTGCTTTAGCTATTTTTTTTTACTTTTTATCAGTTCCATGATGATTCAGTTCTTTTCCATTTTCATTGGACACTGTGAATTGTGCTTTATTTATTTGACCTGCATGCTCTAGACCAGTGGTGGCGAACCTATGGTACGGATGCCAGAGGCAGCACTCAGAGCCCTCTCTGTGGGCACATGCACCATGTCCTGGAGATGGCAGCCATCACTCTTCAAGCAGCCGCCCACTAACTCACTGAGGTCCCACATGACCAGATCCATCCCAGCATGGCTGGTTTGCCTCCCCCCCATCCCATCCCTCCTGGCCTCGCATGCACTCCTTTTCCTGGGCACAACCCATTGCATCGCCTCCTCAGCTGTTGGCCAGCCATTGAGCTCAGAGGTGGCTTCTCTGAACTGCTGGCAGCGGGCTGCGGAGTCCTAGAGTGCGCCAGTTGAGGGGCCAGCAGGCTGTGGCTGCTGACAGACACCGTTGGCCCCCATGCACTCGCTGGCCTCTGTGTGCAGGGACCGATGGTGTCAGGCAGCAGCCGCCCTGACCTCTGCATTGCCTTGTCCTGCGACAGTGGCACTCCTGCCCTGCCTCGCCTCCCTTCACCCTGCAGGATGAGCCTCCTGCCACTGTCCCACCCACTAGAGACCCCCTGAATCTCCCCCAACCCTGTCCGGCCCCCACAGGAGTCCCTGCCCACGAGGAACATTGAGGTGACCACACCTACCGTGGCCACACCCACCCATTCTGCCATGACTGCCACAGCCACGCCCATCCAGTGGGCCATACCCACCTGGCACCCGGCGATAAATAAGTGGGTTTTGGGTTGCAGTTTGGGCACTCGGTCTCTAAAAGGTTTGCCATCACTGCTCTAGGCTCAAGTAAAACAGTTCCTTCTCTAACACATTCCATACTCAGCACCAAAAGCTTTTCAACTATTCAGTAGTCCCAACTATCAGCAACATGGCTTCTGCTTCTGCCTGAATTCAATTTATCATTCTATTTATCAGCTAGTAAGTAGATGGAGAACACACAGAGATTCCTGTTTCTTTTAGAACAGTTATGAATCCACTGTACAGGAAATAATTTATATCTTCCAGAAGTTTGGATTCTTTCCAAAATACCAGACAAGGAGAAAACTCTGTTTTTTTCCAATCTATTACAGCTGGACTTATATGTGAAGGAAGAGCTCTCACTTTCCATATTCTGTTTGGTGTAAACTTTGTTCCACAGTATGTTTAATCTACAACTAATAAAATGTATAACAAATATTTTTGCTTTTGAAAATTAATGATCATTGGCTTTAGCGATATTAGGTTGATGTTTATTTTCATAATCTGCATTTTAGAGAGATACAAAGAAAATTCTAATATAAAATTTTATAATAATTTAAAAGGAACAACTTTCTCTAAAATTGAATAGAGATGAAAGACTTTAGTGTGTATCACTTTCAGTAAATATTGAATTTGTATGTGTAAATCAAGGCTTTTCAACCTTTTCACCCATTGTACCACTTTTTGGATATGGCAGCATCCAAGTACCACCAGTCGCCTAGCAAGGTGTCAAAAACTTGATGACCAAAAAAAAAAAAAAAAAAAAAGGAAAAAAGTGATAAAGTACAGGTAGTCCTCGACTTACAACAGTTTGCTTAGTGACTGTTCAAAGTTACAATGGCACTGAAAAAAGTGCCCCACAAGCCACAGCTGAGCAAGACAGCGCCCGACGACGCTCTTCCTCCTGTCCAAGGTTTTCATTGTTGTGAGCATTTCTGTTGAGGATTGGCAGCGGGGGTGGGGTGGGGGGGTGTTTGGTTTTAATTCCCCCCGTCTGCTGGGTGGTTGCAGCAGGTTTTGGTCACTACACAGGACCCTGGGACACTGTGACTGTCATAAATATGAATCAGTTGCCAAGCATCTGAATATAGATCACAAGACCCTGGAGATGCTGCAACATTCCAGCTGATTGGTGCTTTTTCTGGGCTTAGCAGAAGCGTCAGGATCAGTGCTGCTTTCCAGCTGATTGGTGCATCTTATGCCCTCAGTAGAAGCACTGGGATCAGCGCTGAGCTCCAGCTGGAGCCTGGCGCTGACCTGGCGCTTCCACTGAGCCCTGACAGCCCCAAAGAAGCACCAATCAGCTGGAAAGCAGCACTGATCCTGGCACTTCCGCTGAGCCCTGAGAGCCCTGCAGCTCCAGCCATCTCTTGCTCAGGCTTGTGTGGTGCTATCACCGGTTCAGCTCATTCCCCTCCTCCGCTATTGCTTTTCTAGGATGGTCGCATACCACCTGCCAGGTGCCAATGTACCACAGGTGATACCCGCCCCACTGGTTAAAAAGCCCTGGTGTAAATCATGCCATTTTAGGATGTCTAATTCTGTAATAACTGGTTATTTAAAGATCACATGAGGAATTTATCCACTTTCTTTGTTGTAGCCAGATAGATCAGATGAAATCCTTGACTTACAACAGTTCATTTAGTGACCGTTCAAAATTACCACAGGACTGAAAAAGGTGACTTATGACCACTTTTCATACTTACGACTGTTGCAGAATCCTCGTGGTCATGTGACCAAAATTCAAATGCTTGGTATATTTATGATGGGGTTACATGATCCCCTTTTGCAGCCTTCTGACAAGCAAGTCAATGGGGAAGCCAAATTCACTTAACAACCATGTTGCTAAATTAACAGCTGCAGTGATTCACTTAACAACTGTGGTAAGAAAGGTTGTAAAATGGGCAAAACTTACCTAACAAATGTCTCAGCAACAGAAATTTTGAGCTCAATTGTGGTCGTAAGTTGAGGACTACCCGTAGAGGCAGACACAGATTAAAAAAACAAAGCAAAAACAATGCAAAAAAAATCTCAATAGCAAAAATTAAGTAAATTGTTACTTAAAGAATAATGCTATTAAATGGGTAACTGTAAGTGAAACAATGATACAGCAACAATACATTTTCTTCCACTATGTGCAGACTGACTAATTTTCACCTGACGTTCTAGACCTTTATTCTTTCCAATTTTACAAGAGGAAATAGTTTCCTTCTTACACATTTATATCATTATTTTGTTATACTAAGTCTTCTATAGAGAATATTTTCATTGAAGGAAACACTTTATTTCAGCCAGATTAGAAATATTATTCAGAATAAATTATTTCTGGTAGCAGGCTTATTTTGATGTGTCTGTTCAATTTGTATTGCCTACAAGTTAACAATTTAACAGAAAAAACATTTCTGCTTTTCAGATGTACATAATTTTCAAAATATTAAAAACTCTATTTTTACACTTTGTATAATACATCTACATTTCTTATATAGTGGTACATGGTTACTATTGTTCATATCTATAATCGTTGGAAGAACAGTGAACTCAGATGTTACGTGAATGGAGAACTAGCATCATATGGAGAGATAACATGGTTTGTCAATGCCAGTGATGTAAGTATTTCATTATATCAGTTCTGTACAGGAAATATTGTATGTCATTTCTGTCCCATGTTGCTTATGTTAAAGTTGAAAAGAAAAAATGTAAATTTACTATTCTCTTATTTTTTGCTCTAGCACTTCAACAACAGTGTTATATATGTGTACACTTTTGAGAGCAGGCAACAAAATTTCATTTTTAATGTATGTCACTGTGCCCACAGTAAAAAATGACAATAAAGATTATCTATCTAATAATCTGAAGCACAGATCTTGAATGTTGACATAGATATTTTTTTATTTATAAATATAAGTAGGTTTGTCACAATTTTACAGGGTTGTTAGTGTGAAGTAATATGAATATCCCTTTCAGCTGCTATTAAAAGATGGGATGCAAATCTAACAAATAATAAATATTATTGGCCTGTAGGTTAATTGACCTTGGTTTAGATAAGAGATTTCCTGATATATTATTGGCAATTGTGGCTGGCATCTTTGGAAAAAAGGGGGTCTTATTTTTCAGTAATTGTGCTGGTCATTAAAGGCTTCAGAGCCCAGTTCAGAATGGTGCTTATGATGAACCTGTTACAACAAATGTAACACTACATTTTCTTAAAGAATTCAAGTCAATCCTGCTAGAAATGAGGGACCTCATGGCTCAGAAGGCAGTCATTTTTAGTGGCAAACTTTCTCAAAGGTCATCTCAATGCTTTGAATATTGTAGTCTTACTTTTAATGCTATAAAAACAATTTTACTTTAGTAACAGGAATACCATTGTTTTTTATATAAACATAAAAATAGTCCATAGAGCAAAAACATTATAATCACCACCACATCACCTGTAATATATAAATAAGAAATTTTTAGATAGCCTTTTGTTCCAGATGGTACGGTGGTGACTATAATGTTTTTGTTGTATGGCCTATTTTTACATTGATCAGAGTAGTAATGTGAGAAGCATATATTGCCCTGAAATAAATAAATTAATAAAAGCAATAGGTAGAAAAAATACATGAATTATTTCTTTTTCACATTTATTTCCTTAGTTTGGCATATGCATTGCTTCAATTGTAATTGAACTTTTCTTTTTTATATCTTTAGCAACATTTATAGATTAAATATAGGATAAAAGTTCTATATCTTTGGCCAATCTGTGACACTTGGACAATGAATGAATGAATGAAAGAATGAAATGAATGAATATTTATGTGAAAATAGTCTTACCAACTAAGTAAATAAATGTGGATAAGAAATAATTTATGTGATGTTTCTATTTTATTTATTGCTATTGTTGATTTATTTATTTCATTACTGTATATACTACTCATATCTCTAATCTGATCAATGTAAAAACAATCCATACAACAAAAACATCACAGTCACCATCATACAAGCTGGAATAAAATGCTATCTAAGAAAATATCATAAATAAGAAAAAAACTTATCCCTAAAAAAGAATAACGAATGAAATTCTGACTTCACTAAAATTGATTTTAAGGTAGCTACATCCACAACTCCAATGACTGAGCTACTTCATTCACCCCAAATACAAATACAACAAGAAAAAGAAAAAAAGAATGGAAAATATTTTATCATGTATATAGTCTTCATTTTCAAAAATGAATTAAACTAACATTGACTAGATGCTTTTATTTACTTTCTTAGACATTTGACAAATGTTTCCTGGGCTCTTCAGAAACAGCAGATGCCAATCGAGTATTTTGTGGCCAGATGACAGCTGTTTATCTTTTCAGTGAAGCTCTCAATGCTGCCCAGATCTTTGCGATTTATCAACTTGGTCTGGGATACAAAGTATGTATAGTCCTAACAGAATTTTGCTGGAGCTGACAAAACTTTAATTTTATACTGGATTAATTTTAAAAAGATAGTAGTATCCCTGTTAAATGATGAGTGAATTTTTAAATATTCTGATTTCGATTTACTTTATACATAATATAATAGTAAAATATTACTAATTTAAACTGCTTGTAAACTCAAAAACCAGGCATTTGATCCTCTTGTACCTCCGCTTGTTGAACTAAATCTAAGCACAGCGTTGCTCAAGCCTGGTTATGTGTGATGACCCAGGGCACAGCACAGAGGCAATTCAGTCAGCTGGTAATTCAAACCGCCCTTTAATTGCTCCAAATTTTCCCAAATGCTTCCATGTTTCTGGCAAGCCCCAGAACAAAGTAAGACACACATACCTTCAGCAGCCTCTGGCGCAAGTAGTTTCACATACAGTTAAGTTAGAAGAGTAATTTACTCAAGGCCACGTAGATAATAAAGAATGAAACATACATCCAAAACCTAACGAGTCTGTGGAAACACAAGCTTGCCTGAGCAGTTTCAGAAGAGAAGCCAAAACACAATCCGAGGTCTTTGAACACAAATCAGGTTTGTCAGCCAGTCCAATGGTCAGAGTTTCAGGGTTTCCAAGCAGAAATCACAACACTGAACAAGAGATCAGAGAGTTGTTTCCAAGATCAGCAACAACACACAAAACTCCAAGAAATTAGCGTTTCTTCCCGACAAATGCCCCTCCCCACAGCGTCTCCTTAAGTCTCAGTCTCCAGGTGTGCCTTGTGGAGAGGGGTGGGGCTCTCTCCTTCTGAGTAGTTGAGCCTGCCTGTGTGTTGTTCCCTTTTTCTCTCCACTCTCCGTGTTCTAGGATCAGGAGGGAGTGGCCCTTGCTCATCGCCTGAGTTCTGTCTCTCATGTTCATCCTGTCTCAATCCTGAAAGACCCTGGCCTGCCATGGCCTGCTCTTCCCCACATTCCTCTGAAGCCACAGACACCTCTCCCTCGACCTCCATAGGGACCCATTCCAGCTCATTTTCCTCAGCAGGTTCAGGCTCCAATGGAGGCATGACAGTTATGGTTCATTTCTATAATGTCAGATAGTTTAATTTTAAATGCAAATCTCTGTATTCCATATATAGATAGTCCTCAACGTACAACCATTATTGAACATGACTATTATGGTTGTAAATCATTAGCATCATTAAGTAAGGTGCCCATGTGAACACCTTACTTAATGACATCAATTCCTGCTCTCCCTATTGTGGTCGTTAAACTGGAGCAGCAGTTGCCTCAGGTGAGGGAAGCCCTGGGAGGCCTAGCACAGGCACAGACCCACATTGCTTCACATCCCTAGCTCACATGTGGCCTGCCCTGGGCTTTCCAGAGCCTGCCCCACCCCCTGAGATAGCACATGCTCCATTTTCTGCACCACTGAGTCCCCACTAGTCTTAATCCTGCTTCACACCCTACTGGATCCCATACCTTCCTCCCTTCCCTCCATCATTTCTTGGTCCACTTACTTTTTCTATTGATTTCCCTCTAGAAGCAGCAACTCTGCCACACAGCCTTCCTACATGGAGTCTGCTTGGTGCCATCACAGAAGGGAGCACCATTTTGGAAGCAGATACAATGAAGCGGACCAAGCCATGACGGGGTGGGGAGGAAGGTGTGGGACCTAGCAGGATAGGATGCAGACCTAAGACCTGTGGGGACTAGCAGAGTTTGATGAGGGAAAAGATAGGTGGGGAATCCTGCTGCAGCATCCCTGAGGTTGATGTAAGGCCAGGCAGATTGCCACGTACCTGAATTTTGTTCACGTGACTTCAGGGATGCTGCAGTGGCTGCAATTTCAGGCAGGGGTCGTATGTCCTTTCATTTATGCCATTGTAATTTTGAATGGTATCTGAAAGAATGGTCATAAGTCAAAGCTACCTGTACTTCTGAACATTTGAAGTACTGCTACAAACACAAAATTGTTTTGTTCTTCAATTTTACCAATAAATAGTATTCAAATAGATTTTCTCCTATCCTTATTCTTCTTTTGACAAATAAACATTGCTAAGATATAAATATAAAACAATATTTCAAAAATATTGTTCATTGCTCTTTTTACTCATTACTGCATCTCAGATATGTACTATATAGTTGAATCATCCTGAACACTTGCTTGTGAAACTTTGCATTCCAGTTGCATTCTGGTTAAGTATTATCTTTCTTTTAATCTTTCATTTTAGGGAGCTTTTAAGTTCAAAGGAGAAAGTGATCTGTTCCTAGCTGATCATCATAAACAATTATTATATGATGGGAAACTGTCTAATGCTATTTCCTTTACATACAACCCAAGGGCTACAGATGCACAGCTCTGCCTAGAATCATCACCCAAGGACAATCCTTCTATCTTTGTACATTCACCACATGCCCTCATGCTACAGGTATTTTCGTGTGTCTGACTTCGGTTCATAGGGAGATATATTTGATTTTTTCCCCCTTGGGTGTGTTTTGATCTTTTAGTGTGTTCTTCAAAAGATTTAAGGTTTATGGCTTGAACCTTTCAACACATAGCCTGTTTTCAGACCAGATGTGACTGATTAGTGAAGTGCAATCATAAGCTCTCAGGCCCATGTATTTTCTTCAAGCTAAATGTATCCGTTGCTTTAAGAAGTTCTGCTCTCATCATTATTTTAAAGGCTTTTATTTAGATTTAGATTGGATTTTATTTAGATTTCCTGTATAAAACATGATTGTGCTCTCTCATAATGTGTATGACCTTAACAGGGCACTATAATGTAAATAACGCAAAGGTCTTACTGAAACTCTTTTGGTATACTGAAGCCTAAAAGTAATAATAGAAAAAAAATATCCACATTTAATGTGTTCAAATTTGACATTGTAGGATGTGAAAGCAGTCATAACCCATTCTATCCAAAGTGCAATGCATTCTATTGGAGGAGTGCAGGTATTATTTCCTCTGTTTGCACAGTTGGACTATAGGCAATATTCCTTGGATCAGCCTGACACAACTCTTTGGTAAGAATCTTTATTCTCACTTCAAATTGCCTTTCATTTTGGGTAGTCTGAATTTTAGAGAAAATATTACATTCCAATAGTAAAGAATTTTTATGGTTTCTTAGTGACAACTGCGTAGCAATTGCATTAATTTGGGAAATGTTTGTGTTGGTAGAGTAAGTTGAAAACAAAATGCATGCACACACATATAAATGTATCTGAGGTGAAAATACATGAGAGCAGGTTTAGCTTTTTTTGGGGGGGGGAGGATTATCCCCAAGTAATGCAATTATATTGCAGCTTGGAGAACATTATTTATATTTTCAAGGTTAGATCATGTTAAATCTGTTGTGCAGAGAAGACCTTGAGATGAAGTCAGATTATTGACACTAAGTCTTCTACACAAATGTGTACATCATTCAGTAGCTATGTAATTTATGGAGTCAGGCAGGGGGAGATATGAAAAATTCCTCAGGGATGAATTCCTTTCTATCAAAAGGTGTACAGGGTTATTTTTTACAGGGCTGCTGGTTCTGCCCAAGGAGAGTTTATCTTCCTGACCCAGTACTTGATCAGTGAAAAATGTCTTATATGCACAAACTGGTATAGGATTGTCCAGAACAATGGGTGTGCTTCCAGGCAATGTTAATTGTTCTGCAACAATTGCCTTAGAAATGTTTTTAGGAATTAAATGCAATGGCTTTCAAAAGCAATTGATACTTTTGGTCATTGTACAGGTAACATTTTAATGAATCATATTCTGGACTAGAACACCTATTTTTTCCTCAGTAAATTATGCAGCAATTTAAATTATTTGCTTTGGCTACAATAACACTATAAATATAAATCAAATCTATAATGTTTGATTTTGATCCAGATGTCATAGTATTTTACCATCTAAATGAAAATGCTATATTAGAAATAACTGACATTTCTTTTCTTCATATGGCCGATTGTTTTTATTAAACTACTTGTTTGTATAAAGTAATCGAAAATGTTGGTACCAAAGCACAATCTTTTACCTACCCCAATATTTTAATTAGCCAATTGTACCTAGTTTTGTATTTGGTTCCTTCCCTTTCTATGGTATTATTTCTTGATTAAATTTTGTACAAGAAGGATAGTCATAACCTTCTAAATTGCTCAGCTGTCAGGCTAAAGAGTTGTTTAAAAACACTATTTGCATGTATTATTTTTCTAATTTACATGCCTTTAATTCCATATAGTTTAAAGCCCTAATACTGGAAAATGAACTATATTTCATGACAGATCTCAGTTCTAATTTGCACTCTATGTATTCTGGTCCTCTAGACTTGCTTTGCAGTCGAGTGTGTTTTAAACATGGCTCACCCTCTGACTCTCAGAACCCACAGTATCTTTTTTAAAAAACAACAAGTTTTATTAATTTTCCAGTTTTACATCCAAGTATTTAGGAAGCAGCGTGGTGATTGGGCAATCAGTAGTCCAGTAACAAGCTCTTTCGTACATATCTCAGATTACATCATCAAAAATTCCCTCTCTATTACCCTTGATTATTATATCACATTCAAATTAATACATTGCTAGTTATAACTCAATTGGTTAAGAGATTTATCAATATATTTTAACTTATACATATCCATGTCCTGTTTTTAAATTTTACCCAATTTCAATAACAGTGTTCCAATTTAGCCTTTAATATCCATAATATTCAGATTTCAGGTAACCCAAATTTCCCTTATTTCATTACAAAATAATTGTCATATCTAAAATACACTTATTGTTTACTTAAATACATTCTTACTTTATTTCACAAATATATTCTATTTCTCATCCTGGAACCTCATCACTTACTAATAAAGTATCCTTTATTATCTCAATCCAACTTCCATATTATAATTCAAAACTATATTCTAATGGCTAATTTTCATTTCCCTTATAAATCTAAGTCCTAAATATTAAATCAATTAATATCTTTTAAAATCTCCTTAGCCTGTTTAGTAAGATTTTAGACTTTTCCATTATAAGTCAAAAAAATAAAAAGTTCCATTTTTTAAGTCTAACTCTAGCTTTCTTTTTGTGCCAACCACAGTTTGTCTTAATATAGGTACATTACAGACTGGATTGTGTACTGTGTGAATTGATGTAATGAAGCTTCCCACTAGTATTGAATATTTCTTCAAGGAGAAACACCCATGATTATTCTTTCTAGTCATCACTCTTTGGGATTGTTATAGGGTGATAGTGGTTACTTGGCAAAGATGTGGTAAATTGTGCAACTGCAGTAATTTTATTTGAAACATAGAAATAATGTAATCTGCTGAATTGAGAAAAATGAACCAGAATCAATCAATCAAAAACGTGCAATCCTACTCTGAACCCTAAATATGCTACTTTTTAATATGCTGCATCAATGCAATATGTTTTTCAGTTCTATTTTACTGGCTTTCATTATGGAATTGCTGAAGAACTCAGTCGCTATGCAAGAACAAATGCTTTCTTGTAAGGGCTTCCTTGTAATAGGATACAGTCTTGAAAAGGTAAAGAAAATTAAATGGTTTTTTCTTTCTGCATTTTTTGATATTTTGGCCATGTTCATCATTACTTGACTATCTTTTTCCTTCTACAGTCTTCCAAAGCACACATTAACAGAACTGTCTTAGACCTTTGCCTTGCCTTTGCTAAATATTTGAGCAATTTGCATAATGGAGCCCCCTTGCTGAAGCAGCTCTGTGATCATATTCTACTTAATCCTGTAATATGGATTCATACTCCAACCAAGGTAGGATGCATTCCATTTGTGAACAGAGCGTAAAAAGACTTGATTTTTTTTAGTACTAATGTGATATATGGATTCAAGAATTTAGATGTATTTCCCCTTTCCTGTGTTTAAAGAAATACAGTATTTTGGAGAAAAATAATATGAACTAAAAGGCCCAGTTTGGGGTAGTGGTTAAGGCAGGGGTAGGCAACCTCGGCTCTTTTATGACTTCTGGACTTCAATTCCCAGAATTCCTGAGCCAGCACAGCTGGCTCAGGAATTCTGGGAATTGAAGTCCACGAGTCATAAAAGAGCCACGGTTGCCTACCCCTGGGTTATGGCATCAGAAACCAAGAGACTGGAAGTTCTAGTCTTGCCTTGAGCACAAAGCCCAAGTGATCTTGGGTCATTTACTTCCTCTCAGCCCTAGGAAGGAGGCAATGGCAAACCATTATTGAAAAACCTTGCCAGGAGAACTGCAGGCAGTTGTCAGGCAGTTTCCAAGAATCAGACACAATTGTGCAGAAGGGGAAAAAAGTGAATTAATGGATACAAATTAGTGAAACATGTTTCACTTGTGAAAGTGTTTTGAATACAGAGCAACTGTTACAGATGTTTCATGCTTAAACAAAAACACGTTGGTCTGAGTCTTTTGTTTCAGGTAAGTAATTTTTGGTAGTAATTTATTACTACTAAATTGAACATTTTGATGGTCTTATTTTTTTTAAGAAGTTGTCCCTTTCATTAAGAATTTTGCCAGTTGGCTTGTTGAAGCAAGCTAATGTGGACTATCCTCCCCTTCATGTGATACGTGAAAAAGAAAAGTAAACTTTATTTCAAGTTTTTACTTTTTCATATGGCTTGGAATATTCTGAGTTTTACTCCAATGAAGTAGAACTTTTGAACTGTTTCAGATTTTATTCCATGGAAAGAAGATCAGAGAATGAGCTTTGGTGGGTTGCTTTGTTTTGAACTGAAAACCACATTTTTTCTGTTTTGTACATAAGTCTATAATACAATTATATACCATAATATCAAACTTCTGAAAATCTTTGCAAATGTTATAAGTCACATTTATTCGTATTAATTCCAGATAAATAAATGTATAATTATACCTTTGGGAGTGCTAATTTCCTTGCTTTTATTTAATTTCCCCTGTGTATGCAATCTTACTCTCCTTTGTTTTGTTTTGTTTTTAAATTGGATGATACAGGTTCAATTGATGTTGTACACTTACTTGTCTACTGAGTTCATTGGCATAGCAAATATATATAATGCAATTAGACGAGTTGGTACAGTTCTATTGGCAATGCATACCTTGAAGTATTACTATTGGGTAGTTAATCCTCAAGACCGTAGTGGAATTACTCCCAAAGGTTTAGGTATGTATTTATTTTCTTGGTTTATAACAATAACACAACATTTGGAACTTCGAATAAATTAGATGTTGAAACAATATAATATCCTAATATTTATAGAATTTAAGTATAATGTTTGTGATACTGAGTGGTCTTTATTTTTTTTAAAATTCTAGTGTCATATTACATTTGTTAAATAATGTGTGTGTGTCTGTCTGTCTGTCTGTCTCCATGGTTTTTGTTGACCAGAATATTATAGCTAAATATATGCAAAACATGCTTCTTGAATACTAAAATGTTTCAAGAAGTATCTAAATGTCAAGCTTTCCTTCTGGACCATGCTTTTTTGGTTATTGTGGAGATGGTTTCAACATTTTCCAGAATGAGGTCGATTTATTTGTGGAAAGCTTTATCCCCAGAACAGTCAGAATAGGGAAAAAACAGTCAAAATAGTCAATGAGAAAAATTGAATATCCGGTCTTTCGGGAAGCATTTTTTTCATGGGAAAATGTTTTGTATATCCCTAGTAAAAAGTAAACAGGCCAAGGTAATAAATTGTACAAATGTAGAAAGTAGTTTTAAAAATGTTTATTTAATTTCAGCCCCTCCCCCATCTGGAAATACATATTAAAATATTACAGTAACAAGAATTTGCAGGATGTATATTTCCTAAAGAGAGCCAGTGTGGTGTAATAGTTAGGGGAGTTCTACTCCACCTTAGGCATGAAGTCAGCTGGGTGAACCAGTCACTCACTTTAAACCTTAGTAAATAGGCAATGGCAAACCACTTCAAAAATATTTGCCAAGTAAACTGAAGGGATTAGTCTAGGCAGTTGCCAGGAGTTAACATTGACTTGAAAGAATCAAACAGGTGGGGAGGGGGAGCCCTGTTAAAAATAAATACGAATATTATCTTATTATAATAATAATAATAATAGTAGTAAAGTTGGAAGGGACCTTGAAGGTCATCTAGTCCAACCCCCTGCTCAGGCAGGAAACCCTACACCATTTCGGACAAATGGCTGTCCAGTCTCTTCTTAAAAACTTCCAGTGTTGGAGCATTTACTGTTTCTGGAGGCAGGCTGTTCCACTGATTAATTGTTCTCACTGTCAGGAAGTTTCTCCTTAGTTCTAGGTTGCTTCTCTCCTTGATTAGTTTCCACCCGTTGCTTCTCCTGCCTTCCGGTGCTTTGGAAAATAACTTGATTCCTTCTTCTTTATGGCAGCCCCTGAGATATTGGAATACTGCTTTTCATAGTCCTTTTGATATTGTTATGGACTATGAAAAGATATTGGAATCTCTTTTCATAGTCCTTTTGATATTGTTATGATGTCTTTGTAATCCTTTAGGATCTCTTACTAACTCTTACCTGTAATCACTTTTTACCCTAACATATAATATATTTAGTTGGGTTTTGGCTTAGGAGGTTTTGCAAACTTAAGCACTGTAAATTGCATAGATATTATTTGTGACTTAGCACAACATCAGCTCCCTTACACCAATCCACCTTGCAGGGTCGTTATTATTAGGAAATTAGAAGAAGGAAGGTGTGTTGGATAGGTTCATTGTCTTGAGTTATTTGTAAAAATAAGGTGGGATACAAATAAAACAGATAAATAAAAATATTGTTCCTTGGGTGCATGCAAAACTTGTATTGCATGATTAGAACAAACCATCACTTAGTATGACTTCTGTAAGTAAAGATACATGGCGGAGGCTACCCAAGGATATTGCCTGTTTGAGATTTGACCAAGAGACTGGAGGTGGCTGTAGTATTCAGAAGAAAAATACTGGTCAGCAGGGAAGACAGTTCTCTGGCATTGATGATGTAAAAAAGAAAGAGGGGATGAGCCTGGTTTAAGTCAGATGAGGACACTAGGATCTGTTTCTAGAAAGAGGTCAGAATAGTTTTTCCTTAAGAAATATAGACATATTTCACATTTTTGACACACAGGTTTCCACTGAAAAGGATTGAAGCAATCTACTGCTTAAGCTGGATGAAAATATTCTAGCTTAGACATTTGATTTGAGTTTTGTTAAGGTATTAACTTGATTAAAGCAAATCCATAATGATTGAAATATTCATGTGCTCAAAATAATAAAGTTTTCTTTAATATGCAGCACAAACAATTAGGAGTTACTGTAATTGCATTGTAATAATCATAGACTGTTTAAATATATGATGTAATATAATGTATCTTTCATATTAAGATGGACCTCGGCCTAATCAGAAAGAAATTCTTTCTCTGCGAGCCTGTTTACTGATGTTTATTAAGCAGTTGGTGACAAAGGTAAGAAATCTTCAAATTGAGACTATGTTATTCAGTTTTATTTTCTTACAGAGCTGTTTGCCCTACTTATTGTTTTCTAGAATTGTTAAGATGGCATGCTAAGGGAAGGGAATTCAACTTCTAGGAACCATCATTCCAATTCAAATGGATTGTAGTGGGGGGGGGGCCCTTCCTGCTTTAGAATGTACCTTCTATTTCTGATGACTGAACATTTGCTGTAGGAAGTGCAGACTCTGAATAATTAAGGTGAGGAAGAAGGTGCAGCCCTTTAAATCTCCATATCCCGCTAGAGCTGCTTTTTTCTTCAATTAACAATTGCTTTCTCTGTAAGATAGGAAACTGAAAAAGACCCAGTGACCCATCGAGTCTGCCCTTTGAGTTTTTTAATTTTTTAATTGTATTTCTTTTATTTTTTAAAAATTTTTGTCAGATGATGGATATGTGTTTATCTCAAGCATGTTTAAATTCAGTTACTGATGGTTGACCTACTACTTCTGTTGGAAGTTGGTTCCAAGCTTCCACTACTCGTTCTGTGGTTTAATACTTTTTAATTTACTTTTGAACTTCCCTCCTGTCAGTCTGGGGTTATGCCCCTTGTTTTTGATTTTTGCTTAATATTGGAAAATACTGCCTTCTAGAATCTTATTCACACCCATAATATATTTAAAGGTTTTAGTCATGTCCTTCCCCTTCTGTCCTCCAGGCTGTACATAATCAGTTCTTCTAATCTTTCCTGATATTTTTTGTTCCTCAAACCTTGCACCATATTTTTTGCCCATCTCTGGACTCGCTCAATCTTATCAATATCTTTTTAAAGTGAAGATTTCTTTCTTGAAATGAAGAGAGATGAAGTATAAAAAAGAGGGTTAACCATGCTGTGAATCCAGTATTGTAATCAAACTGATGTGTACATACAGAAACTGTGCCCATGGGAAGCCATTCATTTTGTCCTATTTCTTCCTTTTGTTTTCTGTCCCTTCTTCATTGCTGTCCTTGTTATATTGCCTGACTGAAAAAAGTTAACAAAGTTCCCCAAAGATTAGTGAAAATAACTGAAGGGGGTTTAGACTTTCTCCAGCTGAAAAAAAGGCAGCAGCTTTATAGGACAAATGTTTAAAAAATATTTTTAGAGATTGGAATTGATATTTGATTTTCCTTTAAGAATGCGTGAAGCCTTATTGAATAGCACATTCGGTATTTCTTCTTATTTATGACTCTAAGGCAAGGGTCTTCAAACTTGGCCCTTTTATGACTTGTGGACTTCAACTCCCAGAATTCTTCAGCCAGTGGTACCTGGCTAAGGAATTCTGGGAGTTGAAGTCCACAAGTCATAAAAGTTTGAAGACCCCTGCTCTAAGGCAAGCCAAGTATATGATTACACCATATATAGTTAAAATATTTTATCTTCTGGTATCAATTGTATATCCCGGAAGACTGAAAAACTGCTTTCTTTGATTATAGTTTGGGACTTGTATGTAAATATGTAGACATTCATTTATCTATTTATTTGTCAAATTTATATAGCCACCCATCTCATCAAAAAGTGACTCTGGATGGTGTACTTTATGTCTTTTTAATCAAAATGCAAGATATTTTGCTTCTAACAATTGATTCTATTTGATGTTTTTAGCAAATTAGTCGGAAGACCACTTTAAATAGATGAAAACAATAATGGGAATGTTTAAAGCTAGTTTTATATTCAAAAATACAATTTGTCTATCTGATTTAATAATTAGCAGTGACTCTGTGGGGTTCTAGGCAATGGCTATTCCAAGTTAATTGAAAGCACCAAAGACTATACTTGAGAACTCCTTCAGGCAAACATAAGCTCTTTTAGTGAGCCACAGTCCTCATTTATTGAATAAGCTATATTGTAATTCATATAGGCTCCCTTTAAATTAATGAAGGCCAAGAGTACAAGATCTAAAGCAGCGGCCCCCAACCTTTTGGGCACCAGGGACTGGTTCCATGGAGATAGGTTTTTCTGTGGACTGGAGGGGGTATGGTTTCATGTGCTGCTTGCATCCCACAGATGGAACTTTGCTTGTTTGCACGGCCTGGTTTCTGCCATGCCGTGGACTGGTGCCAATCCACGGACCAGGGGTTGGGGACCCCTGATCTGAAGGATCAATATATGGGGATGTACAGAATCCATTCATGGTACACATAGTCATAGGGACCTGTATGGAAACTAATACTGACTAAAACTAATACTCAAGTCATTATTAATGAATCCAAAATATTTCACTAGTATTTATGTTAGAGAGCAACCTTTCTCTTCTGCTTTTAAATGCATTACTTGAATTATATTTCTCTTCATTTTATCTTTTAAGGACTATGGAGTGAAAGAAGATGAACTCCAGGGCATTCTGAATTATCTTCTTACCATTCATGAGGTAAACTAAGTTGGCAACTTGCTTCCAAGAAGCTTTTGAATAAAATATTCCCTCCTACCATCCAATAACACAGAAGTAAGAAAAACATGCATAAAATTGATTGAAACTAAAAAAAATGATTTAAGAACCCTCATCTTGAAGTTCAGTTGTGTATCAGGATTCTGTAGGGTTTTTTTCCCATTCATTTCATCAAACTTCAATATCAAGGGGTGAAAGAGAAAAGAACAAATGGTGAAGCTGTATCCACAAAAGATTTTTTTCATGAAAAAACAAAAAAATAATAATAGCGTTTTAAATAAAGTATATCTAGATATATGTGAAAAATGTGCTACCTGCAATAAGCCAAGCCCTTAAAATGTTTGTTTGTTTTAAATTTACACAATTTACTTATTCATGAGTGGCCCTTTTTTCATTATATTTTGGTTAAAATTGAGGGTCTGCTTATTTATGGATGGGTTTATCCATGATTATGCACCAGCAGTATGGATATTTTTAAAAAGTATTGCTACATATACTTCTTGAAAAGCCCATTCATGGATAAGCTAAAAGCAATTTTGAAGGTGACCCTTGCCACCTAAAACTCTTGGTTTATCTTCAAGTATATACTATAAAGCAGTAATTAGAAGTTACTATTGTAATTATCGAAAACTTCATGTTTTGGTTTCAGGAAGAGTTTGATATACAAGATGTAATATGAAACATTTAGAAAGTAGGATATAAATATAAATAAACTAATTTGCTTTCAGGGCATTAAAACAAGTAGACTAAGTAATTTTACATCTTAAGTAGCTCCCCCCCTCCCTTTGAGTTCTATGTGCATTAATTCTGGCACTTAGAAATAAAGTTTTCTCTTCAGAACACTGATGGAGATATCCTGGAGCATCTAAAAACTAAATAGAATTTATTTATTTTATTTTATTTTATCTACAATAATACAAGCACTTGCTGCATAATACTGCAGACTTAACTGTCAATAAGACAAAAAAAATCTCGATAATGTATACTGCAGTACTTGAAGATAGCAGAGGAGAAAAGGAAGAACTATAGTAGAAAAATCACAAAATATAAAGATCTGCAAATAGAAATAGAAAGACTGTGGCAAAAGAAAACAAAAATAGTACCTATAGTGATAAGGGCCTTGGGTGCAATTCCAAAACATCTGGAGAACCACTTGAACAGCATTGCCATTAACAAAATCATAGTCAATTGCAAAAGGCAGCTTTACTCAGAACAGCTTACATTCTGCAATGAGGCATTTAATACCATCAAACATCAATAGCTGCTCTTGGAAGGGAGTGGGTGGATAAAAATGCCAAGTCAAGTCTAAACATTTGGCTGACTATGCTATGAACAATTATGGTTGTTCTGCTCCTTGTTTAAGGGGCAAACCCTTAAACAAGGAGCAGAACAAATCAAGTAATTACAAAAATTCCAATCAGTGTATGTGATTCACAATTTAACAGGCAATCTCTATTAACAACTAAAGCAAGCCCAAATACAGCCACCATACCTATGGAAAACATGCTAAAATATGGCAGATTGCATGTAAAATTATAATTAATGTAAAACAGATACTAACCTGGAAATGCCAACATTAATATTTTATGTAATTTCTATTATTGTTGTTGTTACTACTACTACTACTATTATATTTTATATTATTCTGCATGTAGTGTATGTGTATAAAGTCAAATTAAGGTAGCAAACATATGTAATCTTCTTACTTCCTATTTTCATCACCACAACAACCCTATGAGGTGGGTTGGTGTCAGGGAGAGTGACTGGCCCAATGTCACCCAGCCAGACTTCTAGGCCAACCTTTTGACTACAATACCAAACTGGTCCCATGTTCTCTCTTGAATCACAGTCTATAATTCTGCAGGTGCTATAGTTGTTATTTCTGTGCTTTCATTTTAATTTATGCTTCTTGATTTAACCCTTTTGTGTTTGATTCTTAAACTTTTAGACCCGACCTACTTTGTCTTATAGTTACTTTCAAATGACTGGCTGCTAGGTTGACATTACTTGGCTCAGTTGTTTTTTAAATGCTGCGGCAGCAGCCATTCTGGGCTTTCAACAAGGAGGTGGTTGGGGCCTGGACTGTTTTTTTTTTTATTTGCTTCTGCTGGGCTTGCAGGTGCCTGAGCTCTGCTCGGACTGCTTGCCAGAGTCTGAAATGTAATGATGCCTACATATTTATGCTGCACTTGATCTCATATTCCCAGTCTGCTCAGTCTTTGCCAGTTGGTTGGCCATTTACAAGAATTCTTCCTACTTTCTTTCCCATCCCCAATGCTTCCTTATCCAATCTCAGTTTCTAATGTCCTCTGGTTATCTTTCTTGTGAGACTTCAGGTCTTTCTTCTGTCTTTTCTCCTTTCTCCTTTCCTTTTTCTTCTCTTCCACTTTTCCTCTTCAATGCCACCATAACTAGTTCCAGAGTCCAGTACTTTTAAAAGTCCAGGTCAATCAATTCCATGGGGTGGGGCCTTAAAGGAGAACAGGTAAGGGGGCCATAGGCTTTTCATTCACTATACATTCTTATTTTCACAGTCTGCTTATATTAAATATGGAGTTTTATTTAGTACTTTAAGCAGCTTTGTTTTTGTCGATTTCTTAAAGTATTTCTGGACTACAGTATTTATGCATTTTATAACATAGTTACTATTTTATTTTATAAAAATATGTGATTTTTTTGTATTGCAATTCCTAGTTTAGGATTAAAGTCTGAAACAGTTTAGCAACACATTGTTTTATGTTTTTTGTATGACAGGACACGTGCTAATCGGTTTTGGCATTAGGAGTCTAAAATAAAAAGCAACAAAAACTGTTATTTGAATAACAGTTTCCCTGCCATACTAAGTTGCTTCTGAGTATTTCTTTACTTGTGACACTTTTTGATTTATAGCATGAATATATCAAAACTTTCATGGGCAAATAGATCTATATCCTTGGTTCTTTAGATGGCCTGCTTTTATATATTCATTTTTTTTTAGTATTGGGAGTAGGGATAACTTTGAGTTCCTTAGGTATGTTTATATAGATCTGAGTTAAGATTTGTGTTTTTTTTTTTATTTTAGACAGTCAATTTTTCCTTACTACTGCTTCCTTTGGCTTTTATAACTGTCATCATGAGATTTTATAAGTATTCTTTACATGTTTCCTATGAATATCATTACATGAATACAATACTGCGAAGCTGCATTTTTTATTTATTAAAAACTAATGCAGTCACCCATCTTGCTTTGATGATTCTGGATGGCTAAGAATAAATTACAGTTATAACGATAAAACTCAGAAAGTTAGAAAAATAAATACCAAAATTACAAGCAGTCCTTGACTTATGACCTTTCACTTAGCAACCAGTTATAATGGATTCAAAAAATTATGACTTATCTTAGAACTTATGACATCTTAGAAGTTATGACTGCTGTACCATCCCTGCAATCACACAATTACATTTTGGGTGCTTGGCAGTTGGTTTGCATTTGTGACTGGATGCAGCATCCCACAGTCATGTGACCATATTTTGTAATGTTTTTGCCAGAAACTGGCAAAGCCACCCATTGGATAAAAGCTGATTCACATGACCATATGATTCACTTAAGAACAAGGTTGATTTGCTTAATTGCTGGTTGTACAATTGAGTATGGTCACGTGGTGCCTCAACTTATGACTGCAATTTACAACTGAAATCCCATTCCCAATTTTGTCCATAATGTACACAAGTTCTCAAAATTTTCATCTCACAGTCATATTAGCCTTACAGCTGAGCTTATCTGTTCTCTTGACCCAATACCCGAGGGAATAGCAAAGATTTTAAAGTTTTTGAAAGGCCAAACGTTTTGGGACTTACTCAGTTTTGGGAAGAATAAAACAAGCAATTGGGCAAGCTCTACGTCAGAGAAAGCACCTCTTTCTGGTTCCCACTAGATGACACTGCTTCACGAAAATAGCTTGGAACATGCCCATTCTGTCAGTCCTGGTAAGACTGAAAATATCAAGAACGTGTCTCTAGCATCTTCCATTTTGTCTAATCCTAAATTTTAACAAGTGCTTATTACTATGGCCATCAATGAAGAAAACACTATATGTGAAACACTCTTTTGTTTGTTTTTGTCTATAATGACAGGAGAAATATAGTGTAATTCACGAATTGATAAAATCTGCAAAGTTTGAATTGCAGTATCAGCTTTAACATGAGTTTCTTTATACTTAGGATGAAAATTTAATGGATGTTTTGCAATTGCTTGTTGCTCTCATGTCTGAGCACCCCAGTTCTATGATTCCTGCTTTTGATCAGAGGAATGGATTGCGGTAAGAACTAAATTTCAGTAGAAATAACAATAATCAGTTGAATTTTTGGATGTCTTGTCAGATAAATGTCTTTTGTTACATATTAATATGGGGGTTACTTTGTATAAAACATCTAGTTACAGATCTTTTGTGAATTCATATTCAAGAATGTAGTTTGAAACAATAATTCTATCTATGTATTATCTCTCTCTCTCTCTCTCTCTCCCTCCCTCCCTCCCTCTCTCATTCTATCTATCTATCTATCTATCTATCTATCTATCTATCTATCTATCTATCTATCTATCTAATCTAATCTATCTATCTATCTTATCTATCTATCTATCTATCTATCTATCTATCTATCTATCTATCTATCTATCTATCTAGTGTGTATTTACTGAGAAATAGAGAGCTTTGTTACTGGTTGCTAATACCTTTATTGTTTGAAATGAAAAAAGATCATAAAAATCGGACATGGTGACATAGTTTACAATTGTCATGACCTACAACTGAAATTGTAGGCTCAATTATGGTTGTAAATGGAGGACTACCTGTACTTTCCCCCCTCACTTTTCTGGATGCTGTCATATATGACCAGCAAGGGACATATGTCAAATGTTATAGTTAACATAATTTTCTCTCAAAGAGACTGATATATTCAATCCATCACTTGGAATATAGACACATTAATAAATATTTATCTAACATTGTAAACTGGGCAAAGAGATAGAAAAAGGCTGCAAATATATGGTCTTCAGTTTGTGTTCTCTATATATTTCAAAAACTATGTTTTTAAAAATATTTTCTATTATTTTCATTGAATATTTGTGTTAGGATATTGAATTTAGTAGCTAGAACAGTAAAGTGAACAATAGGTCAGAACATACAATTGTAGTTGATTCATTATAGCGTGCTGACTCATGCATGATGCAATCTGCATTATGATTGGTTGCTATAAGTATAAAGGGGGAGTTCCCTTTTTTCCCTCCTTTTTTTCTTCTGTGTGTTCTGTATCTTGTTTTAGATGTACCTCATGATGTTCCTGTGTTCCTGGCTATCTTATGTTCTTCCTTTTCTGGATGATGACAAAGACTGCTGTAAATTTAAATAATAAATACATTTATATTTATATAAAAGACTGAAAGTTTCTGTCAGTGTCTCCGACTTCATCTGGACAGCTGCTGCACACTTCCTTGATAATTTGCATTTGTCATTTTGAACTAATAACTTCCTGTCTTTCGTGTTTGTGACCCTTTGTTATATAAATTCTCTTTTCTATTAATAGGAGTAGGATTTCAGTTAATCATGAATATTTTTTCTCCATTTTGATTCAATGGGACAAATATCTCAGTAATACACAGGATTGTTTTAGCTATCACTATATACAATAAGTATTATTCTGCAGGCGTAGCTTGATTGTTGCCTATGTAAATTATTTTAGCCATTTTTACTCTATGACTTTTAAAAAATCTTTTGTTTAGTGTTATCTACAAGCTTCTTGCTTCCAAAAGTGAAGGGATCAGAGTACAAGCACTGAAGGTGATGGGCTACTTTTTAAAGCATCTGGCACCCAAGTAAGTATTAGATGGAAACAATAGTAAACCATAAAAACATCTAACCCCTTAAATATTATTTTTTTGGATTATTTTCTATAAGTAGTCCTCAATGTACAACCACTTTTGGGACTGGAGAATGCAATCATTAAGCAAGTCATCACATGACTGGACCAAATTTTATGACCATTTACAATGGTTGTTAAATGAATCACATGGTGTTAAAGGAATCACTCTGTTGTTAAGTGAATCCCGCTTTCCCAATTCACTTTGCTTGTCAGAATCTGGCTAGGAAGGTGGCAAATCATGATTGTGTGACCACAATTTATAAAGACTTGATTATTTGACTATATACCGTATATTTTGGCGTATAAGACAACTGGGCGTACAAGACGACCCCCAACTTTTGAGAAGATTTTCAGGCTTTAGAAAGTCATCTTATACTCCAGAAAATACAGTATAATATTGAATTTCTGTTTATAGATGAGCACAACAAGTTACTTATTATTTAATTTTCCATATAATTTTAGGAGGAAAGCAGAAATTATGCTTGGACATGGACTGTTTTCTCTTCTGACTGAGAGGCTTACGCTTCAAACAAACTTAATTTCTATGACTACCTACAATGTACTTTTTGAGGTAAAAGACTTAAAATATATAGCTGAGATGATATAATTTATACTGGTATGTTCCAGGTGATAAAATTTGGATTTTTTTTGTTTCTATTTCAGAGAAATACTAGTTAACAAACATAAATGTTACAAACATATGCTTTAGTTAAAAAGGCAAAATTAATAATTCAGTACTTAATTTTAATAATAAAAAATTAATTTAATTAAAATAATACTTCAATAGTCAAACAGATCTTTCAGTATTATGAAAATAAATTTTAGAATTGTATGATATGATGTGTTGATATGTATGTGTGTGTGTGTGTGTGTGTGTGTGTGTGTGTGTGTGTAGTAATATAAGGTCCATCCGCCTGTGTGTGAAGTAAAATAAGGTCCGTCCGCCTATGACCCAATCTGGGCTCAAAGCGCAGAGGCAGCCAGCCACATAAAAACGGACTCCCGGATCCAGCATTTTATACCCTGACGATGTCGGTAGTGTGGCCGATGAAAGCTTGGTTTTGTATATTAAAAATTTATGCTTATCATTTTATCCTGGTGATCACCTTATTTTACTTCACATTATGTGTATACCCGGGATTCGTGTTTTTAATACTATTAAGGAGATATAATACTACTAAGGGGATATATATATATACAGCGAGAATCTTGGCACCATACAACATACAAGTAGTGCACAAACCAAGCCAAACGCTACGAGCAGCCATTATGCGCCCCAAGGACCCGCTCCCCAGCATGGAAAGATCGGCAGTCATATACAAGATTGATTGTATGGACTGCCCATGTAACTATGTTGGGGAGACTGCCAAACGGGTAAAGACCAGGGTCCACGAGCATAAATTGGCAGTAAGAAGGGGGGACCAATATTCCCAGATATGGGCTCACATGGCAGAATTGGGCCATAGATTCAATTTCAGTGAAGTTAGCGTGCTGGCAAGTGACAATACCAAGGGAGGCCGCCTACTTAGGGAGGCGTGGCTCTCTAATAACAGCTCTATTAATCGGCACGTTGACCTGTGTCCAGCATATATGGCGTTAAGATCGTGGAGTGCGACCAACCAGCTGCCCCATTACCGATGACCTAATAACAACCCTGATAATATCAAGGGGAATATGCCAACCCCCCAACTGGCTCGGTGTAAGCCAGATGAGGAAGAGCAATTATGGAGCATTCCTACCACTCTTACAACACCAGCACGGATCCAAAGGAACAGCAGAATGAATCTGGCAGCCTGCCTGCGCCTGGAAAGAAGCGAGGCAACCGATCTGGAGAGGAGGAGACGACCCCTCCACTCAGCTGAGACGGCTGAATTGGGATGGGAAAATGAGCAAGAAGGTGGCATTTACGAGACCGAACTGTTGCGCCTTCTACCCATAGACTCCGAAGACCCCACGATACGCACATGGGCACGAACGATGTTAGAAGGGAGAGGAGAGCGAAAGAGAAGCACGGCGGCACTCGAGAAGATCGTAATTCTACTACCTCCCCCAGACCGAGCCTCCGAATTATAACGCGTGCGAAAGGAACACAGGAGGCTCAGGAAAGGGGGAGGAGGAGTAAGACGACTGAATGTAATTACAGTCAGGGGACCGCCCCCCCAGTAGACAAACAACCCATCAACCTATCCCAGATCACCAGCATATCGCAACCAACTCAGAGTGACTTACAGGATTGTCCAGATGACAGTTGGATGGGAGGAGAAAGTACTAAAGTTAAAAGAGAAGGCTATCGCAAAAAGAACAGCCAAGCGGAGGATGATTGGGAAAGGAAGGGGAGGTGTACATTACCACTCAAACCTGATGGGGAGGATGGGTTGAGGAACAGAGATAATTTGAACGGTAGGGGGAGTTATCCCATCCCGGAATCGAAAGAAAGGAGGAGAGATGACAACACACACGTAACTAAGAGGAATAGGAGGAAGCAAACCAATCAAGCGCAGTTGAATCAATTAGGCCCGGTGACGAGATCGAGGAGCCGGGCGTAGACTCTGACTTGCCTATAAAAAAACTCTCACACTTTCTGGCGCTCTAGCCCTGATGATGCCGGCAGGGACGGCGAAAGCTTGGCGCTTTTTAATTAAACTTTTATAGTTTTACTACCTTGGTGTTCATTTTATTTCTTGATATGAATACTCCCAGGGTTCATATTTTTAGCATTATTAACCATATATATATATATATATATATATGAAGGAGGAGTATTAAGCATGTTGAATCTTTGTGTGTGTGTGTTTGTGTGTGTATGCAGAATAATAATAATATATAAAAAGTTTTTATTATGGCAACTAACTAACAAGTATAGAATCTTAGAGTGCACCACCGAAAAATTCTTCAGTTAAGATAGGAATGGACAATTTGAGGGCCTCATATTTCTTTTTCAATCCATCTGGAGGCTGTTCTAACCAGTTCATTAAAATGTTATGGAATGTTATGGAATGTCACATAGCCAAAGCTCCACAGAAGCCTTAAAATAATTGATTTCTTTCAATTTCTATCCCACTTTTTGTCCATAGAATTGATTTTGTAGCTCTGACCCTCTTTTGTCAGAGATAAAGGATTATAAATAAATAAATAAATGTTACTGTTTATTATAAACAAACAATATGTTTTGTTTGGTGTGCCAGAATGGTCCAACTATAAGCTTTGTATTGTTTTAATATACTTTTTATTTATTTCCATGAACAGACTGTATTTAAAATAGACTTTCATAGAGTTCTTAATGTTTTTCTTGTTTTTCTATTGAGTAGCATATCATTTGAATTTTGTCACCAGCCTGAGGTAAATAATGTTATCTGAGCAAGGAAAAATATTATAACAAAGCATTTAATTTACTAAGAAATAAGTCATTTTGCTGCTTGCCACCTAAAGTTAATTTTACTTATTGATATAATTATTTTAAAGATCGGAATTTGTCTGTTTTTAATTGAACAGTTTGAAATTATTTCAATATTAGATTTTTCTTAATACGTTCTTTTTTTCCCTTTTTAATCAGATACTTATTGAGCAGATTTGTACACAAGTGATGCATAAACAGCATCCTGACCCAGATTCAACAGTGAAAATACAAAATCCCCGTAAGCATCTGTATTTCTTTCAGATAAACTATAGAGAGCCTGTAAATTGTGCTTTATGTGTTTCAAAAAGAGAAAAATGTATTAGGAAGTATATTTCTTGTATTTATGTTTGCTTTCATAATCTAACATTTGCTACTTTGGGAAGTGTTGTTACTTGAAGTATTTTTAAAGGGTTTTTTTTTAGGAAAAGGACTTCAGTAACAATTTCAATTTTAGCATAAATCTGACTACCTAAGTTGGTACGACTTCACTGGAAATTAAATTCATTATTAATTTCCATTCTAAATTAACTGTATCAGTGCTGGCCTGATGCTTCAGTTTCTCAGATACTTGAAAGCTCTTCAGTGGAATGGTTGGTTAATTAACATTTTTTATTAATATGAGAGCTGTTAACATGTACAAATGAGAGGTAAAAAGGTTATATACAGAGGAATAAGGCGATATACAGAAGCCCCATAATCAGCAGCTTTGTGTAGCTGTAACCCTGCAATAGGCCTTTAAGCATGTTCATTCAGATTCATTTATAATATTTTAGCAGTCTAGAAACATGTCTTATAGGGCTTCTTATTTGTAAGGAAATTCGCAACAGGGTTTAGGTGAATATGATTCCAGCCTAGCAGTCTTTCATTATTGTTGTTCTATATTGGGAAGCCTTAAATATTTATTATTGTTTTACCTATTACCTTTTTCAATTAAACATCTGAATAGGATTGCTATAGCAGAAAATAGTAAATCTAGAATTGTTTATTATTTTGGGTTTTAATCCCAGAAAGTGCTTTGGAGCAGCTATGGACATGATCATGTTTACAGCTCTTTTAAGGAACTGTTTCTTTTCTCTTTTTCTGAGGAAAGCAGCCATACTATCTTACAATAGTTCATTTAGTGACCATTTGAATTTTACAGCTATACTGAAAAACATGACGTATGACTGTTTTCACATTTATGACTGTTACAACATCTCCATGGTCATGTGATCAAAATTGAAATACTTGGCAACTGACTCATATTTATGATGGTTGCAGTGTCCTGGGATCATGTGATCACTTTTTGCGACCTTCGGATAAGCAAAGTCAATGAGAAAGCCAGATTCACTTAACAGTCACGTTACTAATTTAACAACTGCAATGATTTACTTAACAATTGTGGCAAGAAAGATCGTAAAAAGGGGGAAAACTCACTTAACAATTGTCTTGCCCTAATATAAATTTTGGGCTCAATTATGGTCATAAGTCAAGGACTATCTGTACAGCATAAGGTTTTGGTCTGAATTTAGTAACATTCTGTCTTAATTGAAAATATGTTCTGCTATAAAAGTATATTTGAAGATGCAATAATTATCCCTCTATAAATATATACTATCCAGCTTAACTGATTTCTGTCTCTTAGTAAACATTCTCAGATGCCCTTGGGAAACTCACCAATAAGATTTCTCTTGTCACTTAGGCCCAGGAAACAATTAATAAAAATATTGAGTGTTTTCAGGTTGCTATATGGTTAAATTGAATTTTAAGATGCATGATGCCAAACCAGAATAAAGATACAAGGAAAAAGGATACAAGGATGTATTTAACCATAATAATAATAATAGTAGTAGTAGTAGTAAAGTTGGAAGGGACCTTGGAGGTCATCTAGTCCAACCCCCTGCTCGGGCAGGAAACCCTACACCATTTCGGACAAATGGCTGTCCAGTCTCTTCTTAAAAACTTCCAGTGTTGGAGCATTTACTGCTTCTGGAGGCAAGCTGTTCCACTGATTAATTGTTCTCACTGTCAGGAAGTTTCTCCTTAGTTCTAGGTTGCTTCTCTCCTTGATTAGTTTCCACCCATTGCTTCTTGTCCTGCCTTCAGGTGCTTTGGAAAATAGCTTAATTCCCTCTTCTTTATGGCAGCCCCTGAGATATTGGAATACTGCTATCATGTCCCCCCTTGTCCTTCTCTTCATTAAACTAGACATACCCAATTCTAGCAACCGTTCCTTATATGTTAATGAAAACACTATAGGAAATGTTCCAGGAATAATTTCAAAAAAATTATACTTTGCTTCTTGTTATATAACCATGTAATAATGTTTAACTTGGGAAAAAGGAAAAGGAACTAGAATGAGGGAGATGAAAATCTTATTTTCGTGTTGATTTTTTAAATTGTTATGTTTTCCAGAGTTTCTGAAAGTTATTGCTGTTTTGCTGCGTAATTCTCCTCCATGCTCAGAAACCATGGAAGTCCACCGAGTCTTCCTATCAGACATGATTAAGCTTTTTAATAGCAGCAGGGAAAATAGGAGGTAAGATCATTTTATATCTATATATAATAATGTAGCTTAGAAAGCTGTTTCTTCAACTTGCAGGATTAGATTGTTTTTAAACTAAGAACTGGTCTCAAATTGTTCACATGGTTTAATCAATTACTAGCTGTATCAGGTGTTTATTAATGTCATTAATTCCTATTATTGTTGTCTTTGAGTTGCATTTTCCTGCTTTCTTCAAAGTGAATTCAATATGTGTTTGCAATTTTTCAGGAGTTTACTACAGTGTTCTGTATGGCAGGAATGGATGCTTTCCCTTTGCTATTTTAATCCCCAAAGCTCTGATGAACAGAAGATAACAGAAATGGTGTATGCCATTTTTAGAATACTACTTTATCATGCAATCAAGTATGAATGGGGTGGCTGGCGTGTTTGGGTGGATACTCTAGCAATTACACATTCAAAGGTGAGCTATGCAAAAACAATTCTAATTCTGATTTTTTAAAAGAACTTTGAAGAGCAATTTGATGGGTTTAGTAAAAAAAAATTCACTGAATTTAACTAGAGAGAACAAAATAAGGGTAGGTGTCAATATTCCATAAAGCAATAATTACAAATATGTGGTGCAATGCTTGTGCAATTTCATGTACCAATGGTATGAGTAGCTAAGTTGATGATCAGAAAACTATGTTTTATTATGAATTGCCTGTGCAGTTGAACCATATAGATTTGAAACACAAGGTGGCGCACCTTGCCTATTTGTATGTTACAATGATGCCCTTTTCTTAACACGGAGAGGCTGAGCAACAAATTACTACAGTCTGATGAAACTGAAGCGAAAGCTGTTTCCATCCAAACAAAGAGAAGAAAGGTTGTTAGAAGGTTTCTTGAATAAGAAATAAAACAATTTTCCTACTACTAATAGTATAATTTTTTTACAACTATAATAAAAGTGTGATGGAGAGAATTTTTCTCTAATGGAGGTAACCTTTTTTCAACTGAAAAACAGATTTTAGAGTAAAGTTTCAATGGTTGCCACCGTGGTTCCTTCTTCTATTCCCCAAAACATTTTTAATACAGCTCTGGGTGGATTTCCATATGGGGATTTACAATGTAAGAAAAATGAAGAGACTTCCCCCCCTGGTTATACCGTGAATTATGGGACACTTGGTGTGTTGACGGCACAGTTCAGGTACAAAAATTGTTCTTTCAGTTATGTGGATGTCGATGCCTTATGAGACCATCATATTTATAAAGTGAAACAACAGATACTCTCTTTCCAGGTTATGATTTTACTTACATAGATTGTATTTAAAAGGTATTTATGAGTTCTGTTTGATAATTAAAATTCTGGATTAATATTTAATTTGCATTTTATTCTTTTGAATTGTAGAGGTTGAAATTAACATTAATAATTTTCTTAAATTGTGTATAGTTTATAGGAAAAATAATTATTTTCTAGTGCACTTTTTCCCCTGCTTTGTTCATAATAAATTTTAATTACATAGCTGTTTTTTCATCATTAATATAAGACTACTCAGTTTTAAATTCATTAGTATTAGACACAAATCAGTTTAATGCTGATTCAAGGTTTCCATACAGCTCATAAGCAAATGTTACAACATGAATATTTGTTTATGAGTTGATAGACATTTGTAAGAAGATAAATATTAACATTGCTAATAATTCTATAAATTTTGGACTGCACTGTTTTGATATAAAATAATCTTATCATATGAATGGATGCCAACTAGAACATACATATATACATACATGTGTGTTATGTATTATATATTATATATGTATATGTGTATGTGTGCATCACATAGTATATAAGTATATAAGTTATAAGAATCAACACTTCAGTTTCTGCATTACATAGATTTTGATAGTCTACATATTCTGACATGAGAAGCTATTATTTAAATTAATATTAAGTTTATCACTTCATTTTTCAATCCAATAAAATTATAAAAAATAGTTTTTGTTAAGAATACTGTTTTCATGCCACTTTCAGCCAAGCTTGCTCCCAGTCAGGTGTAAAGTGGGATAGCTAAGTGATGATGGGAACATTTTAAGGACACGAAGAATCAGACAACTTTTTTTGTATGGGGTTTATTGCCAGAGTTCATTGTTCTTGTCAACTTATGATAGTGCAAAATGGTGTCTCAACCATTAATCCAGTCAGTTTTCATATACATACATTTGTTTTTTTTAATAATTGGGTTAGATCAGCCATTGTTTTCCATTTCTGTCTTAACAATGCAAGAGTTACATGGCATGTGCTGTTGAATTCAGGTTAATTCTCTTTAATTATCCTTATGACATATCACCTGCATGAACTAAGATTTATCCTACCCAATTGGTCAATGCTATTGTAACATATATTGTTGAAACTGTCATATTATTTCTCATCCTTTGGTTTTTTTTTATATACCACTCTGAATATTGGGACTAGAGTAGCATATGAAAGTTAGTAATAAAATAACCTGTTTTAATTAAATTTCTCTGTAAATGTTCTGAAGACAATGATCCTCAAAACTTTCTTAAAATTGTTACTGAATTCTGAATTTAGTTTGAATAAGTATGCATTTTTGTAGGGTTTCAATATATTCAAATTCATAAGAAAAAAAATCCTTAAACTGAGTCACAGTAATTGCTTTTAAATTTTTTTTTGTATGCTTTAATTTATAATTTAGCTCTATTTCATTTATGCATCAGCCACTGTCTATTCATACTCTACTATATAATTTTATTTTTGGTAAAGAGCTTGTGTGGAAAGAACTAGTGTTGCAAAATTGGATAGATCTTGCAGAGCTGCACATCAAGATACATGGAGCTGCTATAAAAAGCCAAAGAAACTCAATTGCAATTTTATTGTCCAGTTTGATAGATTTCCTGCCACCTTTGTAGCAGGGAAGCCGTTTGTCACTGTAGCCTCTTTTCCAACTGCAGTACTACGCTTTATAAGCAGTGATGGCTTTTGTGGCATAATTGCACTACCTAGGTTTCTTTTGCTCTCAGGATTTGAAGGTGTACATAATCCTATTATAGCTAAAGCCTGTTGTAATGCTCTGATTTAAAAAAAAATCAGTATTTTTATATCTTTCCTCCCTTTCATTTCTGCTCTTTTCATTATATACTGTGTAAAATAACTTGATTTTATTGTCTAGTTTCTGTATTAGTCCTAAGCAGAATTAACCACAAAAGAACCCAGATAGAAGCTATATTCCTATTGTGATAAATTCTTCTAACATTTCTTCAGTTTCAGCTTGTTTATGTCTTCTTACTTTTGCTAAATCCTTGCAACTTCTTAAAGTGAATTTATTTTTTGAAAATATATTTTGGGTGTAATCTGGATAATTTATTTTTAATCCCAAAATGAATAAATTATATTTACTTTTCTGTTGCAATTTGAATAATTGATGTTAATATGTTATTTATTGATACATTAATTTATATCACATGTAACTTTAAGTTTTGACTATAGATACATAATGTTTAGAAATTACTTAGCCCCCAAGAATTGAGAATTCAAATGCAATAAATTAAAACAAGGGATAAACTTTAGTTTTCTATTTAATGTTTTGGCAAAGTATAAGATTGAATAAGATGCCAAATATAATCACTCAGTGAAACTGATGTCCATAAAATTAAGTTGAATTATAGTTATTTACTTGATTTGCCCAGGCTTGCAGATGCAGACAAATTGAAAAAAAAAAGACCAGCAAAAATGATTTGTTGGTTGTATTGAATTATGGGGAAAGATTAAAGAGTCTGAAGGCATGAAAGGAGGATGGCTAAATATTGAAATGCGTAAATTTGCCCCATAGAGCTTGAAAATGGCAGACCTTGAAGGCCTGGGATGTTCTTATCCCAATGGAATAACTTGAGGAATAGAAGCAGTAGAATTAGAATTCATATAAACCTTCAGAATTTAAAACATGAAAATACTCTTGTAAAATAAAAATAAAACTTCGGGCCATGATTGGAAAGACAATGGAAAAAATTAACATATAACTCTTGACTTAAACAGGTATCCCATATCCTTAGATGGTTGACCTGTTGATGGTGAAAATGCATTTACTCCTCAATATATCTGCAGGACTCCCCCTAAACTTTCTACAGCATCAGAGGTTCTTGCTTACATATATTGGCTTTTATTATCAAAATGATATTTTTGGATTGACAAGTCATATATTTCAATTATGCTGTTTAAAATGAAGTGATTGGTCAAAATGTAAAACACTCAATATTAATTTCAAAATAGAATAAGAGAAGTATAGAATATAAAGCGGAAAAATAAAAAAATAACAGAGCACACTAAAAACGCCCTAGTGACTCTTGAGCTGTAATTTGCAAAAGGTCCATATTACTTTAGTTAAATGCACCTAAGGGAAAAAGAGAGAAAACATAAGAGTATATTTTTATGTATGTCTAGAATAAAAAAAAAAGTTGAGAAATTTCTGTTGTTTCATGAGAATTACTTTGAAGCATAAATGAGGAGCAGAAGAAAAGATAAAAATAGAAGGTATAGAAAAAATGTCAGGTTATATTGGATTGGAATGGTTAGAAATTATAAGACGTATAATTAAAGATCAGAATTGTGAAAGTACAAAAAGTCAAAATAAGAGCCTTAAATTTAGAAGAAATGCTTAAGCTGGATATTAAAGAATAATACAGATTTAATAAATTTTGTGCAATAGAAAAATATTATGTAGAGAGCTACTGACCTATAATTGTAATTATAGAAAGAAACATTTTGAATATTTCTATGAATATTTGCTGATATTCAATCTAGGTGATAAAATCATCAAACAATACAAGTATATTTAACTAGTCCCCAAATAAGTGGAAATGTGCTACTTTTAGGGAGTTGTTGTAATGCAGCCAAACTTCTCCTTATTCTCAAAACAGGTTCACAAAACACTAAAACCTCTTAGAAGATAAGGGAGTAGCATAGAACTGTTTGGTTGGATAGCAAGTAGTATCTGCTATTTCATCTTATGTGGATGGGCAGACCTACTATACTTGTCCTTGCTATAGAATCTTCTAAAATATACAGTAAGGAAAAAAATTATTTGATCTCCTGCTGATTTTGTATATTTGCCCACTGACAAAGAAATGATCAGTCTATAATTTTAATGGTAGGTTTATTTTAACAGTGAGAAGACAGAATAACGACAAAATAATCCAGAAAAACACATTAAAAAAAGTTATAAATTGATTTGCATTTTAATGAGTGAAATAAGTATTTGACCCCTTCGCAAAACATAACTTAGTACTTGGTGACAAAACCCTTGTTGGCAATCACAGAGGTCAGACGTTGCCTGTAGTTGACCATCAGGTTTATACACATCTCAGGAGGATTTTGTCCCACTCCTCTTTGCAGATCCTCTCCAAGTCATTAAATTTTCGAGGCTGACATTTGGCAGCTCGAACTTTCAGCTCCCTCCATAGATTTTC